AATCAAATCAAAGTGACAACTATTTTTCTACTATTTTAAGCTTTACTTTATTAATATATCTAAAAGTTTTTCTTTCTTTTTATATAAAAAGTACAAAAGTAATATATATTAAAAAAAAGAAAAACCTATAAACCTATAAAATATATATTATTCCTAAAAAATGGGCCCCCCAAAATTGCCGCCCCGGATCTTGGTCCAAAGCTGGTGAATTTTGTCCAAAGCATCTTCATGTCGCTCATTCTGTACACGAACCTGCTCCCTAATTTTGTCCATTTCTCGTCGAATTTCACTGTTCCTCGTCGTCTCCGGCATGATTTCTAGCCAATGACCGGCTGCTCTGATACCAATGTAACGTACTCAACAAAGAATACTGAATTGCACGACCTAAGAAGCTAAGGTTTTCAGAATAGCCTCTGAACAGTAGAGCAATGAGAGTTAATCGAGATTTAGAGAGAAAGAGAGAGAGTGATTACTTGTATAATATCTTTATAAAACCCTACAATGTTTCCTCCACCTGCTTATATCTAGTGGATCCGTTAACTGCTTTCTAACTTCCCTAACGACCTCCTTAACCGACTAACTAACTAGTGTAGTAATTGACTTATAACCCTTGTACTTATTATTCATACAAAGACACCCCTAACAGAATATATTGTACCTGGTATGTAACACAGATGTATGATTTTGGGCGAAAAATATGGACAACCAAAGGAGAAGAGCATGAGGAAGGTAAGAAGAAATTTATAGATTCACTCAAGTTACTGGAGCTAGAAGCATTGGGAGACAAGCCTTACTTTGGAGGGGAAAACTTTGGTTTTGTGGATATTGCCCTGATTGGATTCTACAGCTGGTTTTATGCCTATGACACCTTTGGCAACTTCAGCATAGAGGCCGAGTGCGCTAAGCTCGTCGCTTGGGGCAAGAGATGTATGCAGAGGGAGAGCGTCTCGACGTCTCTAGCTGACCCTCATAAGATCTATGAGATGCTACAAGTATTTAGAAAGAATCATGGAATGGAATAAACATACTCATGTGCTTCATAATCCATGAATGGCACTTAGTTCTGCCTCGTATATTCGTTTTTCTAGGAATAAAGACATTTCGCCTAGCTGGCTTGTGATGTATCAGTATTATTTTTTGTAATTCAGCTGCTGCTGCTTCTCATTTGGACTGAGCAGCGACTACTTAAAAGTAATATCCCACTTCATGCATTTTGGATTTGAATATTGTGAACAGATGTGTTGTTCTTCCTTTTCTGAATTCTGGTCTATTAGGTAAATATGAATTGAAAATTTCAGATAGTTAGCTGCTAGGTGATTTCTTTTGCTTAAGTTTAGGTGGATAGAGTTATCCGATACTTGTACCAGTTGGAAGCAACAAGTATCACTGGAATAGTTAAAGTCCTTGTAAACTGACCCGACATACTAAAAATGGAGTCCAGTGCACAAAGCATCCGCGCTCATCTATGGTACGGGGAAGGGCCGTGTTCACAATAGTGGCCCGGCACCACTATTGTTAAAAAAAAAAAAAAAGGAAAATGATTCAGATAGTTAGCTCTTTTTTACTAACACAAATGCTACTCCAGATTGAGATGTAATCTAGCAAAGGAAATTACTACACCATAAATTTGGAGCCTTGACTGAAATTAAGTAAAAATATAACAATATTGGCTTGACATATAGAGTGACATTCAGCACAAGGTATCCGCAACTCTTGGATTCCCTGGCCTAGCCAAGACAAGACTTGAAAATCTTGGTCCTATCGATCTAGGCAAAAGAACCTACATTTGCAAAGTAATTTTTACTAATTTAATCAGATTTTTACTCTGCCTCATTACTTGTATGAGTAAAGATGAAAACATTTAGTACTCAATTTTTTATATTTCTTGGATAACTTTAAGGAAGAAAATACTTAGAATATGCCGCCTTAGGGAAAGAATAAGACCAATGAGACTCATCCCATTCCTTTTCCTATTTTAAGTTATATACACTAATATTGTTAAGAATTTTAATTTTTCACTCTATTAATTAGTACAATTTAACCAGTTATATTAGATTTGATATGAAAAGTATATTTACTATTATAAGTCGTTTTTACCTGATATAAAATAACATATACATTGTCTGTGCACAAAATTTAAACTCTTTAAAGTATTATGCAATCTAATCTGCTAGTCGCTATCTAACAGACTAGAACTTTTTATATAACATGTCAGGTCAGAGGCGGATCTAGGATTGAAACTTAATGAGTTCAACCTTGTTGAACTAATTATACCATTAAAATTATGGGTTCAAATCTAATATTTGTTGAGATTTTAATAGATTTTTACATATATATTTATACCGCGTGGCGAAAGTTATAGATTCAGATGAATGCATAGCGGAAAGGCTAGATCCGTCCCTATGCCAGGTAGAAATTGTCACAATCTATGAAAGTCTGGCTCCAGTGCATTTCGTTAATACATAAGCTGAAATTACAAAGTTCCAGCATTTCAATAATTAGATTTATATAACCATCTATATCTATCAAATTGATCAACTAAAACTTCCTATTGTTAATAAATGAGTTTTCTTGATCAAGAAATGGCAGAGGATGAGGTGATTCTTTTGAACTTCTGGCCTAGTATGTATGGCATGAGAGTCAGGGTAGCACTAGCTGAAAAGGGTGTTAAATATGAGTACAAAGAAGAGAACTTAGGTGAAAAGAGTTCTTTACTTTTGGAAATGAATCCAGTTTACCAGAAAATACCAGTTCTGATTCATAATGGAAAACCTGTTTGTGAATCACTAATTGTAGTTCAGTACATTGATGAGGTTTGGAAGGACAAAGCTCCACTTCTTCCTTCTGATCCTTATGAAAAATATGAAGCTATATTCTGGGCTGACTATGTGGAAAAGGTAATAACATTTTCTTTCAAGAGTTTAACTTCTACCCACCGACAATGTCAAATCTTTTACACTATCAAGTTACCTAAAAGATAATTACATGAATATGTCATAAAATTTGGATCAGAATTACTTCTACAACATGTTGAAATACATTGACAGTGTAAAAGATTCTTTACGTTATTTGTATATATAAGTTAAGTTCTTCTTTCGAATAGATTATGTAGAAAGATGCTTGATAGAAATAAATTTTTCATGTGCTTATCAAAGGTCAAGTTTCCAAATAATTAGATCAAAAGTGTTGTTGCAGGCGTAGGTTCAATTGAACTCACTGCTTTCATTTTAGGCTATGTTACATACGTAACAAAACTTTAAAAATGTATATCTTGTATGGATCGCACCTAACTTTGAACTCATTAACTTTAAATTCTGCACAGGTGTTTGATTCGGGACGTAAATATGGATGACGAGAGGAGGAGAGCAGCAGACAAGAAAGAAAAACTACATAGATAGCTTAAGGATGTTAGAAGGAATTCTTGGAGATAAACCTTATTTTGGAGGAGAAAACATTGGATTCTTGGACATTGCTTTAATAGGATTCTGCAGTTGGTTTTATACATATGAGAAGTTTGGAAATTTTAATACAGAAGCTGAGACCCCAAAGCTAATTGCATGGATGAAGAGGTGCATGCAAAGGGAGAGTGTATCCAAATCTGTTGCTGAACCTCTTAAGGTTTATGACTTTGCTTTGCAGATTAGAAAGCATTGTGGAATAGTGTAGACGAATCTTCGCAAACTCGGAACTTTTGTCTGCTCTGATATCATATTTTAGCATTATGGAATAGTAGATCTGATAGGTGATTGATGTTCTTGTATGTGAGCTCAACCAGTGGTGTAGCTACATGATGGTTCAGAATCCTTTGTCAAATAATTATACTTCGAAGTTGTTACAGCAGAGACAAAGGCGACTTAAAAATAGTTTTGTCATAAGTTCAAATTCTTCGCGTAGCATTCTTGTATTTTTTAAATCCCTTTGTTAGAATTCGTAGGCGCTTTGCCACTAGCACAACATATAACTCTTCATGTGAGCTATCTTGAACCTGCACTTGTATGATTTTGGGCGAAAAACATGGGCAACCAAAGGGACATATGTAGTATTTTTCAGTAGATCCACTGAACTCACTAATTTCAGACTCTATATATATATATATATATATATATATATGTGTGTGTGTGTGTGTGTGTGTAACAAAGTATCAAAAGTTATATAGGAGTAACCATAGATTACACGTAACCACCAAGCTTTGTGGTGGAATGGATAGAATCTTTCAAATCTTAACCAGAAATTTTCGGTTCAAACCTGGGTATGCAAGAAGATATTATAGGGAGCACTACCCTTTTAATGAGTATTAATTGAGACGCCAAAGCTAATTGCATGGGCAAAGAAGTGTATGCAAAGGGAGAGAGTCTCCAAATGTATTGCTGAACCCCTTGAGGTTTACGACTTTGCTTTGAAAATTAGAAAGAAATATGGAATAGAGTAAACAATTCTTGGGTGAAATATGTAATGTCTTAAACGCCCAAAATGTCTCCAATGTCTTAAACGAGTAATAGCCATGGAGAGGCAATAACTATTGTTCCTTATGTCATTTTTGATGAGCCGCCAAAATTTTAGAAGATTCGTGTCCGGTCTCTCGGGTCCATGCAGATGGCGTAGGCTATAGCATACGAAAATCTAAGAATCGGACGAAATTCAGGTTTTATGGCCCTAAAGGCCAAATAATGAGGAACGGTCATGGCGAGGCGATAACTATTGTTCTTTCGATCATTTTTGATGGGCCGACAAAATTTTAGACGCTCTGAGTCCGTTCACCCGGGGCCCATATAGATGGCGTGGGCTAATGGCATACGAAAATATGGGAATCAAGCGAAATTCTAATTTTTTGGCCCTAAAACGTCAAAAAGCGAGTAACGGTCATGGCGAGCAGATAACTATTGCTCTTTAGGTCGTTTTTGATGGGCCGCCAAAATTTTAAACGATCCAGATCCGGTTGCCCGGGCTCATGCAGACTGTGTGGGCTATAACACATCAAAATCTAGGAATCGAGCAGAATTTCAGTTTTATGGCCCTAAAACGCCAAAAATTGAGGAATGGTCAGGGCGAGGTAATGACTATTGTTCTTTAGGTAGTTTTTGATGAGCCAATAAAATTTTAGGTGATCCGGGTTCGGGCGCTCTAACCCATGCAGATGGCGTGGGCTATAGCTCACGAAAATATGGGAATCAGACAGAATTAAAGTTATATGGCCCTAAAATGTCAAAACTAAGGAACGGTCATGGGGAGGAGATCACTATTGTTCCTTAGGTTATTTTTTACGGGCCGGAAAAATTTTAGGTGATCCGGGTCTGGTCGCCCGGACCCATGCAGATGGTGTGGGCTATATCATATGAAAATTAGGGAATTAGACAGAATTCCAGTTTTATGATCCTAAAATGCCAAAATACGAGAAACGGTCATGGAGAGGTGATGACTATTTTTCCTTAGGTTGTCTTTTATGGGCCGGCTAAATTTTAGGCGATCTAGGTCCGTCGCCCGGGCCCATGTAGATGGCGTGGGTTATAGCACACAAACATTTTACAATCGAGCGAAATTCTAGTTCTATGGACCTAAAACGCCAAAAAAGAGGAACGGTCATAGATAGGCGATGACTATTGTTTCTTAGGTCATTTTGATGGGCCGATAAATTTTTGGCGATCCGAGTTCGGATGTCTAACACACGAATATTTGGGAATTAGGCAAAATTACAGTTTTATGGCCCTAACATGCCAAACAAACGAGTAACGGTCATGGCGAGGTGATAACTATTGTTTCTTAGGTCATTTTTGATGGGCCGGTAAAATTTTAGGTGATCCGGGTCTAGTCGTCCGGGCCCATGCAGATGCGAAATCGGGCAGAATTAAAGTTTTATTGCCCTAAAATGCAAAACAAAACGAGGAACGGTCATGGCGAGGCTATGACTATTGTTCCTTAGGTCATTTTTTATAGGACGACAAAGTTTTAGGTGATCCAGGTCCGGTCGCCCAGGCCCATGCAGATGAGTTGGGCTATAGTACACAAAAATCTGGGAATAAGGCGAAATTTTAGTTTTATGGTTCTAAAACGCCAAAATATAAGGAATGGTCAAGGCGAGGAGATGACTATTTTTCCTTAGGTCATTTTATATAAGCCCGTAAAATTATAGGCGATCCGGGTCCGGTTGCCCGGGCCCATGAAGATAGTGTGGGCTATAGCACACGAAAATCTAGGAATCGGGTGGAATTCCAGTTTTATGGCCCTAAAACTCC